TATAAGAAGTAGAAGAAGCACAGACATTACTACCATCACTTTTTTCTTCTGCCTAGCCTGCTATTCTGCAGAAGCTTCATGGCCTCTTCTTTATGAGGGTTGTTGTGATAATAACTGCTGTGTTTATTTCCAAGGTTTTTCAGATCTTCTGTCAGAGTTTTGGGTTCACAAGCATTTGCAGTACTTTTACAGTACCACTTGGCGCTTCTCTGCAGACTAGATACCTTTCCACAGATGTATCAGTTATGAAAGCAAACCTATTACATTATGGAAAATGCCTGTAGAGTTTGTTCTATATTGAACCAGTCAGTAGAACAGAAATTATTCCCAGATACATGGTTAGTAGTGAATGAGTTCCCTTGTGGATACCTGGGAGTTTTGAGGCTCTGTCCAGCTTCCAACCTATTCCTTCCTGCAAAATCTCTGGATGAAGCAGGCTGATGTGGGAGCTGGATCGTGTTCTTGCTGCTCTCTCTTGCTGCCAGATGCTCTGAGCTTAGTGCAGAGCAAAAGCTAATACTAAGCAGCTGCTGTCCCTGATAGACAGCTGATGGCTGTGTGCGCCTTTGCCCTCCTGCTTTTCTTTCCCCAGAAAGCTGTTCAAATAGGTATGCTGCTCCATCCCCTGTGCAAGCAGCCAAGAAGCTGAAATGAGTCTGGATGCCGTCTAGAAATATCCTTGCAGCATAAGAACAAAGCACAAGATGTGCTTTGCAAGCTTCATGGTAACTGATGTGGAACATATTTCTTTGCACTGACTCTAGAAGGGACAATGGACCAAAGAACTTAAGATCAATTCAGTTTTTCCTGATCCACTCGTTGAGTTGTTCTACTGATGTTGGGAGCAGCCATTCTTGTACTCTAATCACTCTTGTGCCACTGGAGCTAAACTGTTGAAGTGATAAACCAGATCTGCATGCGCTTAGCCCAAGCAGATATCTCTGAAGGATGAATGCAAACAGAATTAGAAACTTCAGAACAAATACTTCAGGGTCTGTGGAAGTCTTGAAATTTCTCTTCCTTCTCCATCAGGATACATGTGTTCCCCGAAGACCATCTCTGCTCTTCACTGGTATTTCTGCATCAGAACCACTCCCTTCCCACCCCCTCCAAGATCTCAGGTGCAAATCAGCTCCTCATTAGGGTGAGCTCTCTTCTCTCTCCTTTTCTTGATGTCCTTGGAAGGATGACAGTAAATCAGAGTTTGCTTTGAAAATGCTTGATGAGTAAAAGGATGCTGAGCATGGTCAATTTTCCTCTCACCTTCTCTGCCACGAACTCAGACGTGACTTCTGGCACTGCTTTAAGCAGTTGTAGCAGGATGGCTGATGTGAGTGTGTGTTATCTACTAATGTTTTCTTGAACTCATTTTTTTTCCCCTTTTCCCAGACCGATTTGCTGTCACCTTTAGTAAGGCAAACATGCTTACTTTGCTTTCTGAATATAAATGTTCTTTATAATTACAGATTCAGAGATCTTGCTGCAGTGATTGTTTTAACACCAAGGGAGTTTTTGTATAGTTTTGTTCTTGAGTATCCAGAGGCTGTGAGAAAAGTATTAATTTTACTGTTTCAATAAAAATAAATAAGATAAAGACAAAAAACATGTTAGCTTAGAACCATGGAAGCATTCTACTGGAAGATGTGTGATAACACACACAAATAAAATTTAAAATTTTGTTATTTAAAATTTTGTTCAAATATCAGAAGATACCTGTGACTTTCAGCCCTTAATTAAACTGTAGGTGTTTCTTTGTTTACCCTTTCTGTGTTTTACATTTATCAAGAATGAAAAGCCTGAAATGCTTCAGGATGATTGATTGTGCTTTGTGTCTGAAATGGCTCCAACCCAGGGCTCTCAGAATTACAGTAAATCTGTGGTTTGCTATGAGTGAGCTTAGAATACTTGCTGGGTCTGGAAATCATGTAGTGTAAGTAAGGTGATAGACTGTTCACGGTTTTAATTCTGCAAGGTTCAGAAAGCCTCCTGCAAAGTGGTTGCTTTTAGTGATTCTGGAGGACTTGAAAGAACGTAATGGTTTTGTTTTTGTTTTTGTTTTTTTTTTTCCTAAAGGAAGATAGAAAAAAGTACATAATGCCTAATGAACATGTATTGTTTCCTGTGTTTCTAAGTATGGACAGTGTGTTGCTGCTCATTGCTGAGGAGGGGAGCTTAAAGTTCCAGTAATGCACCTTTTGCACTTTTCCAGATGGGAAGAGGATCCATTTTCTGTTTCACTTTTTAATGAATAGTGTGTCTCATGATGCAATTTCACTTAATTCAGTGGTATATTAAAATGGAAAAATATTTATTTGTGAGATTTAAAAAAAAAAAAAAAAAAAAGAGTAAGAGAATTTCGAAAGAGAATTTTTGTGAGGAATCCTCACTGCTGCTCTCCTTTGCTCTTTGTGCAAGGATGTTTCCTGGATCTGTATATTTGGACTTGGCTCACCCCTCCAAAGCCCAGCTTAGCTGCTGGCCTATGCAGAGGAGGGGTCAGCTATCTCTGCCGCACAGTCCTCCATGCAAGGACGCTTTTTTGAGCGACTTGGCGTGGAAGAGAAGATAGTTAAGTGGGGAGAGTTGGAGGAGGGGTTTGGCAGCTAGGGAGAGAGATGCACCCCAGCTGCAACTAGCTGGGAGACTGTAAGAACAGCTTTCCTTTCTGCAGAAACAGCCCAGAGCTCAGCTTCTGTATTTATCTGTTTCTAAAGAGTAGTGCATGCAGTTTTGGAAACATCGCAGTAACTGTGAACACCAGTTTGTCATGCTCTGTAGTGTTTTGTTCATGTTTAGGAAAACCCAAGCCAAATCCAAGAGTTCACTAAAGCAGGGAATCCTGTGCAGCATGTGAGGATCCATTGCTATGAAGCAGGAAAGAAAAACTAGGCAAAAGAGGGCTTGGTCTTCCTCCTAGTGTCTCCCCAGTTGAGTGATTATTCCTTATCTTTTTTTTTTTTTTTTTTCCTATTTTTTTCTGGTTTTGTTTATTTGGCATATACGTATACATACACATATCTCAGTCTTCCCTTTTTTTTTTTTTTTTTTTTTTTTTTTTCCCCAAGCCTCTACAAGCTCATGTAAAGCCTAGCCTAAGTTGGTGTGTAAAATAATCAAGGATTCTCCTTGTTCAAAACAATTTTTTTGGGCAAGGGGAATGGTTTCAAATTAAAAAAGGGAAAGTTTAGATTGGATATAAGGAGGAAGTTTTTTACAGTAAGGGTGGTGAGGCACTGGCACAGGTTGCGCAGAGAGGTGGTGGGTATTTTGTTCCTGGAGACACTCAAGGTGAGGCTAAACCAAACTGAGCAAATGATGTAGCTGTAGGTGTTCCTGTTTGCCGCAGGGGAGTTGGACTAGATGGCATTTACGGATACCTTCCAACTCAAATGATTCTATGAATTTATTAAACTGTGCAGCTCTATTTTAAAAGTTTTTAGGTTTTATCTTTCATCATAATATCTGTGCTAAATGTTAATGTCTCTACAATCAGCTATATCCACTTAAACTTTCTAACTCCTAAGGAACCATGTTACAAAACAAGGCAGAGCTGTTTCAGGCTGCACTCTATATTTATGGGACAATGATGCCAGATGACAACAGAATTGCAAAGGAAGTGCCTAGTGCATAAAAAATTAATACCTACCAAGTCCTTCTTTTTATGGTGATGATTATAATTATTCGCTCTATGTTTGAACATAATACACTCAGAACAGCAGTTTACCGAATGTACTGGAGATTATTGAACAAAATGCAAGTTACAGGTCATGTTCGGGTTTTCATTGGGCAAATAACTATCATTTTCTTCTCAATGAAAAATAAAATTGCAGTGTTAGAGGAGGTGTTCAGATTCAGTGCATATAAATGGACAGTTTATATCTGCACTCGGAGGAACTCAGAGGTACATGGAGGAAAATAAGCAGAAGTCAACCGCTTACTCTGACAAGATCTGCTTGGGCTAAGCCCTGGGGTCTTGCTGAATGGTTGCAGTCACAGTCCTGGAGCTTGGGGATTTAAATGTTTGGTGAAAGGTGCCATCAATCTAAAAAGCCCAAGGAAACATTTTCCTGGATGGTAGGCAAACATTGAAAAGTAGAATTTGGGCCCTGATAAATATTGAAATATTGAAAAACCATAAATGTTGATTTATTCTGCATTCCCGTTGTTAATTATTTATACTATATTTTTCTCAGTCTTTCCAAGAACTGGTAAAACTGAAAAGGGCATTTTATCATGAGAAAATGTCCCTTATGACTCCGGGAGCTGTTTTTTAGTATTAGAAAACTGGCTAAACATCGCAGGAGATGGCAACGCTGCTGCCTCCCATACAGTCATTGAATGGCTACCTTCTGTAAATGCTCACCAATAAATGGAGAGCAATGGGTCATCACTCAGCAAAAGGAGAGAGGGAGTTTGCTGTCTGTCTCTACTCCTGGCTGATTCTGAATTCCTCCCAAAAGGCAATCAAACCTTTACATTTTATACTTGAAATAAAAACGTAATGACTTCTACCTTATAATATGTCTGTAATCATATAATCATTGAATTGCTTGAGTTGGAAGGGACCTCAAAGGTCATCCAGTTGCAATCCCTCTGCCATTAGCAGGACTGCCAACCACCGCATCAAGCACACAGTCTGCCCAGGGCCACATCCAATTATTTATCTATTTTATTTCAAGTAACAAATCTGATGTAAACATTTATTTTTAATAATGAATCATACTTCTGGGCATACTTAACCCGAATTTGCACATCTGATATTTGCTGTACAATTCCTTATACCAAATAAAAATGCATGACTTAATTGTAACCTTAGTTATAAGTAAGAAGGCAGTTGAGCCTGAATTTGATGAAATCATTCTTCCTTATTTATAATTTCAGATTTTGCAAAAAGCAAGACCCATATAATTTATTTTAGCTACAATTACGAGATAGAATGATGTGTCTGTAGACATATCCTTTGCTATTTTTGAGTCTTTTTATTTAATCTTTTGCTGCAGCTCCTTGTCCAAATTCACATACAAATCCAGAAGGACAAACACTAGATCTGAAGAAGCATTCAGCAGAATTGGTGATGGTTTTGCTTGACTAATTAGGCCAGCATTTCCTGTGGTTAGTGTGCAACTTATTTGAAGAGCAAGGTAAGTCTAAAGAGCGTCACTGTGTTTGTGTTGACTGCGAATTTTTTTCCTCTGATTTGAAAATTTCTGTTGCCTGTGTTACTCAGGAGATAATGTAAATGCATTGTAAGATGTTAATGAGGCTTCAGCCCATTTAGTTTTGAGGCTTTACATTTTTTCCCCTAGCCTCCTCTTAAAGATCTGATAGTTCTTTGCTGTGGAAAAGGAGAGAGATGCAGCTCTGGTAACTAAAGGTTGGGTGCCCTGGACTGCATAACATGACATGGTGATAGGACTGTGGAGAAAAGGGAAGGTACTACTTTCTCAATGCCAAGAGCCACCTCACAAAAGATATATGTCTGAAATAACAATGGACTGCAGCTGCATGTTACTAGCCTCCCATTTGGTGGTGCTGGAGAAAAAAGCTCAGTCCTTTCAATGTTTAATGATGGCTGAACAAACTTGGAATGAGCTGAGGAAGATGAAAAGTCACAGAAGTTAATGCTCCCCAAATACAGCCAAGCTCAGTAGTCCTTAAAAGCAATTAAAGCACTTTTACCATCTGTTAAGTAATTACTATCCTCATTAGTTATTAGTAGTAGGAGATATGATGTAAAGGGCACAAACACAGTGTAAAAAGAACAATTAAATTCTTGTGGTTTTTTTTTTAATAAGGTCATAAAACCTAAGATATTTGTATTGAAATAAAAAAGGCAAATCTTCATGGGGGTTTTATAGCTGTTCCACTTCAAAAATTAAGCTGTTACATTTTTCTTAACTCTTGAAAGTTTGGCTTGGTTTGTGTGGTTGTTACTAAAATGGTTCGAAGTCTATTTTAATAATCATATCCAAAACCCAATGTAAGATCAGGAAGATTTAGGGTTTCCAAATATAGTGAGTTATAGCTTGGCTGAAAGAAATTATAGGAAACACAATTTGAGGACCACAATTTGGAACAGATTAAAATCAAGTAACCAAAAAGCCCCTGAGCTGTGTGCTTTTTTAAGATGCGTGACTGTGCACCCAAACATAAGCACACAGACATCTATATAAAGCATTATGTATTTCTAGTGTTTTTTTTTCTTCTTCTTAGTCAAGATAAATTCCCCAAAAGTATTTCTTTCAAGATAGTAGATGCGTATCTTTAAATTTAACTTGATACCTCTAAGGTTGCACAAGGATCCTTGTGTATGTTCTTTATTTTGCTATTTAGTCCTATTTCATTAAAAGAATGCATAGTGGCCAAAGTGGGTAAGTTTCCCTGCAAGTTCATTATACGTATAAGAGCTATAGAAAGAGGGAAAACAGTTCTGGACCATTTTTAAGATGTACTCTCAATTGTATTTCACCAATTAATTTAAAGAAAGCAACAGCTAAACAAACAAACTTCCAAAATATGATGCGGTTTTCTTGTAAGGGAGTATAATTCTCAATAAATCAAGACAAGTCAGTGAGGTGCAGGTTATTTTGAATGTACTTAAATTCGCAACTTTAAAATTGTGCCTATTTCTTCTCAGGTTTCTTGTAAAAGAGGGCTTGCAGATGCATTATTGGGCTTCCCATAAAACTAAAGTTGTTTGCAATTATCCATGTTCTGCTGGGGATAGGAGACAAGTTTACCCATGCTGCAGTAGGATTAATGTCAATGAAATACCATTTATTTGGAAAAGTAACTCGTCTTTTTTTCACAAGATCAGAAAGACCTGTAAGTAGAAAAGGATGAACTTCAACTTTGTTGAGGCATGTAGACAAAAAGCCTTATCTGATTGTGTAGGTCAGAACCACAGTGTGAGAATTTCCTGATATCAAAAGCAAAAAATACGAAGAGAGTAGCCTACCCTGGCCATGTATTTGCACAAACAAAACAAATAAAAGGAACTGATTAACTTTCTTGAAAACAGGGAGAAAGCAGTGTCCATGTTTCCCAGTCTAACCCCAATTTATGGCTGCAACAACAAGATAATGTTGTGAACAGTGGTCAAATCTTGTAAATAATAAAAATAGAGGGTTAGCAAATTGCTTTGGGGAGGGACGGGGGTGTTATCAAGATAATCAAACAGTAAGTAACAAAAAAGAAATATTAGGAGAGCAAAACTAGGGCCAAAGGGATGATAATGTATGTCTCAGAGGGTTGTATAATCTCAAGGGGCTTGAAGGAGAGGAACATGGCAGGGGGAAGAAGTCAATAAGAATAAGTAGAGAAGTTGTTATTGGTGCTCCCCCAAGGTTCCTTTCAAGCACTCCCATGCCCAATCCATGCAATTTTTTCCAACGTTATTAAGTCTGACATGTTTCCACTTTGTCAAGTCTTCCTGTCCAGGAGGGAGATGGTGTGTCTTCCCTAGCTACAAGGGGAATCTGAGGAGCTGCAGATGTAAAGGGTGGTTATGTCTATAAACAGGACAGGTTGTCTGTCTTTGTACTCCTCTGAATGTATTGCCTTCTTCCTTTCCTGAGGTCTCTTCCAAAATCTACTGGAGAACACTTAATTATTTTGCTGCTTGAGGTATTTTTTCCTTGCACAGATTGGCATTACTTTTTTTTTTTAATGTGCTTTTTATAAAATGTAACACACATTTTTTAACAAAGAAAACCCCACTATTTTTATTTGATTTTGACAGCTATAAATCCAAACACTGGCGTAAAGGACAGAGATACTACATTTGCGTTGCCAAAATCTTACTCATAAGGTACCTTATCCCATTAATTTTTCCCTGATTTTTTTTCTTGGGGATTATTGCAGCAGCTTAAGAATGTGACTTATTTCCTCTAAGGCATAGGCAAAGAATTCAGGAAGAATGAGAACTGCTTAAAACCGGTTTTAAGTGCTGAAATGTATTTTCTGAATTTATGTTGAAGACACTACACCTGATTTGCTGAATGAGGAGAAAGAGAAATATAGGATTATTTTTACATCAGTTCTCCACTGTACTGAATATTTAAATTCACCACTGTCAATTGGTACATAATAGCATACACTTTTTGTGGTGAACAACAATTTCTGGTAAATTGCATTTGCCTTTTTATTACAGTGAAAACAAAATATCAACTACTGAATTTAATTTTTCTGTAACTTGGCACCACTTTCTATTTTAATCAAACTCTGTTCATGACTACTCCATCTCTGTTGCTTCAACACATAAAAGCAGATTAGGCTTATCTGCGAAGGATAGTGTTTTTGAATAATCCAATGATAAAGAAACATAGAACAAAGGCAACATTTGCAAAAGCATGGCCACTTCAAATGAACATTTCAAATTCAAATACCTAATGAAAAGCTAAACTATGCAGTCCTTGATACCTTTAAGATTGCCTATACAAGCAACTTCTTTCTGCAGAATATCTATGTCTATGTGGACAGCTTAATTTTTTCTGAGATATCTCATGTACCTGAAACATGTCTCCAACCCATAAATATTTTCTAAGTGACAAAGAGCTTCAGTCCCAGAGGCTGATTTATGAACGTTTAGAAGGAGCAGATCAGACCTTGAGATGGGAACCCAACTCTCATTATTCTAATATCCAGAAGGTTATAGAAGGGTGAAGCTGCAACCCTGACCTTATCTTTAAGCAGCCTGGGAGGAGGAGGAGCTATTCTGCCAGCTCTGAGCTGCTCACCCTGAAAACCACCCAAATTACCAATTCCACCTTCAAAGCTTTTTCAAAGGACTGCCGGTATTTTTCTGTATTTCTACATTTTGATTCAACGTTCCTGACAGTCGTTTTCTCAGAATGAAGCTTAAAACTATAAAATTTATTTGCTTGTGATGCCTGTTTTCCATGGGCAGACATAGAGTCTCTGAAGACCCACAGTTCACTGTTCTTCTGAACCATCCTGACCTATAAATCTTTTGAGGGTGACCTGAGTACTTGGAAGTTCACTGTCTTCATAAATCTTCAGAGCACGTATGGAAGCACATTGGGCTCTCCAATTTTGCTCTCTACTACCTCCTGAAGGGAGGTTGTGATGACGAGGGGTTCAGCCTCTTCTCACAGGCAAGAACAGGACCTGGGGAAATGGCCGCAAGTTGTACCAGAGGAGGTTTAGGTTGGACATGAGGAAAAACTTTTTCTCTCAGAGAGTGGTCAGGCACTGGAATGGCTGCCCAGAGAGGTGGTGGAGTCGCTGTCCCTGGCAGTGTTCAAGAGGCATCTGGATAAGGAGCTGTGAGATATGGTTTAGTAGCTTGTGGTAGCAATGGTAATGAGAAGACGGTTGGACTAGATGATCTTATAGGTTATTTCCAACCTTGTGATTCAATGATTCTGTGATATGTCTATGGTTGTGAGTGATCTTTATCAATGCAAATAAATTTTCCTCAGGACTGCTAACTTGAGGTATGCAATAAAGTTGAGAAGGTGGCATTGTGGGGATCTTTCATCCTGACTTCTCAGTAGAAGCATATCTCATTAGCAGTTGTTAATATAGATATACATACTAAAATAGGGTATTTTACAATTGTTGGATTAACACTGAAAAATCATTTTCTAGTAGATAGGTTTGCTAGAACATAAACTCTTAACGTGGTTGCAGTTTTAACTTGCCTGAAAATGCAGAGGGAACTCGAGAACTGCATCCAACCGTCTAGTCATTGCCACACAGTCCATATTTGAGTAAAAGAGATCAAAGAAGTTTCTTGTCAAAGAAAGAAAAAAATATATTAATCAGCCTAAACATAAGACTACGGTGCACCAAAAATCATGTGTTCATAGCAGTAAGGCAGAGAGACTGGGCTTGGAGTTTTGATTATTTCTTTCTTTGAATGTTAGCTAGTTTGCTGAAAAGCGTAGATTCTAGATAAGGCCCAACAACTACATTTAAAGATTAATTCTGTTTCCTTTATATGACCAAACACTATAGGACTTCACACACGTGTCAGTGTGAGGATTCATAGCAAGCACTGCAGGGAGATCTTTTTTCTTTTATTCTTCACTCCTATACAGAAGGAGAGCAAGTAACTCCAATCCTAGCTAAATATCCAAAATGCCATTACTGCTTTATAATCCTCTGAAGGTATTGC